TACCAGCTACTTAGACTTCCCTGGTCTCTTCCTTCCCATGGCTACCCATGGAATTGTCTGCAGCAGCAGATAAATTTGAAGACTAGTGTTTGCAGGAATGAAGATCAGCTGATGAGAAGGGGCTGGAGCCCCTGCAGGGCATTCTCAGAGTAGTGGCCTCACTGCCTGGAGGGAATGGCAAAGAGAGAGGTCCACATGGCTGGCCTTCATGTCCTGCTTAGACACTTGCCAGAGTGGAGTACTGTCCCTGGCTTTGACAACACTCAGAGTTAAGGGAGATCTAAGTCAGGCATCCAGTCCAAGGTCTAAAGTTGCAGATGTGTCCAGCCTGTGGCCCCCAGACCACATGCACCCTAAAATAACTATGAATGCAGTCCAACATAAAATGTAAACTGGGGCTGGGGAGATAGCCTAGTGAGTTAGAGAACTTTCTGTGACATCGAGAGGACCTGAGTTCGAATCTCTAGCACCCATGAGAATGCCAGGTGTGTCTGTGGGTGTTGGGTGCTGCCCCTAGTACTGTGGACTAGAAAAAGGTGAATCCTGGGAACTCAGCGGCTGGCCATCCTAGCCCAAAATAGCAATTTTATGCTCAATAAGAATTTTGTCCACTTTGTAAAACCTACCAAAGTGGACATACCAACTCCCCGTAGGCATTGTGAGACCCTTGTGCTGTTCTGAGTGTGAAAGCGCCAATCACAGCACCAGCTTACAGGCAAGAACAAGGAGTCGGTTGTCTGTCTGTCTGTCTACCTCCCATGAGGATGGCCCCCAAAGAGATTCAAGCCCGCATTCTTTGTGAGGAACCAGCAAGATGAAGCTGATATCTGGATTTCCATTCTCAAACTTCTTGAAAGAGAACCACAATCTCCTTCCTCCCATTAAAATTAAAAAAAAAATTAAAAACGTTAAAAAATGATTAAAGTAATACTTCATAGTCCACTCTACACACACACACACACACACACACATACACACACACTTAGGGGCTATGTTCCAAGTCTCCCTGTGGTTGCCTGGGGACGTGGAGCATTAAACACTGATGTATCATGTTGCTTGGTGCGCTGCGGTTTCACCGCTGAAGACCAGGGTTCGAATGTCCCCCTGGAGACGAAGCCCACTGTCACCTATGTCTCACTCCACTTCCTGCTTTAGGGCCATCATTAAATACAGTGAGTTACTACAGTACACCAGAGAGTCTAATGGCCAGCACAGCTGACGGACGACCAGCAGGAGAATAGCACATACCGAGTAGATACGTTGGGCCTGGGGAATCACTCAGGTCCCAAATAGGAGGCAGGAGATTTCAAGGAGTACAAGTTAAAACTCAGAGATTGTTTATTTCTGGAATTTTCCATTTTCAAACCACTGTTAGCCTCGGGTCACTAAAACCACAGAAAAGTAAAACTGCAGATAAAAGGAAGGCAGCTGTGTCCAGAGTACATGTGTGTCCAGGGAAAGCAATATTTAAAGGCCCCTTTAGCTGAAGTCACCTGCAATTCCCTAACAAAGGACTAGTTAGTTAACAGGCATCCTGTGGCTTTTGTTCCCCAAACCGAGGCCAAGCCAGTAGCTCTTTCCCAGTCGTCCCTCTCGCTGAGGAAACCTGGAGGGATCTCTATCTCCTGGGTCTGCCCTGTCCTCCTGTTTCTTCACATTCTCTTTACTTGCTTGTGCTGACCGGCCTACCCCTCCCTCCCCACCCCTGGCATTGATTTCTTTTCCTTTTTCCATAAGTTCTAGCTGCTGAGCACTTCTTAGGGCCCAGCTGCTCTGTCTCACTCAAGGCCGCCAAGGCCCTCACTGTTAGATGGTGAGTTATGTAGCTCTTGCCACTTCGCAGGCTGGAGTGACCAATATGGGGTCCTTTAGCTTGTCCTCGAGCCTCCAGGACAAGATCTCAAGGGTGAGATGGGTGGGTGTGGGGTAGGGGTAACAGCCACCAGCTGATCTCCAGAACCCAGGCTCCTCACCATACCCCTCTGTGACGACATCATTTCAAGGGGACCCATCTCTTCTAAAACGCAATCTCCAAACACTTATTTGCTCCGAGGTCAAGGGTGTGACACCCAAGGAAAGCCACAGAGCTAAAAGGCAGAGAAGACAATGACCGCCCACACTCATCACAGATCCCTGTGCTTTCTTCCTGGGAGAAACACCCTATTAGAACCTAGTGCCCCTTATAGATAACTTAACAGGTTCTGCTATCGGGTCTTCCAAGCCAACAAGTATTAGAACTTGAGGAAAGGACAGCTAAAGGTGTTTGTCCCAATAGAGGACACTGCATGGCCTGAGAGGAAGATAGAAAAAGTATAAGACGTGGACAGGGGAAGGGAGACTCGGTACTGGCAGCAGCTAGTGGGGTGTGCGTGCCCCTGTGTGGGCGTTGCTGGGTGGGGAGGAGGACTCAGGAGAGCTGTCCATGTTGGAAAGAGCCTGGGACAGGCAGGCGAGAGCTCGAATGGAGCCAGGAAGCAGGTAGCACGCTTTAGAAAATGGTTAAGATCGTCCTTAGGAATCTGGAGACTTGGAGATTCCCTGGAGGGGTTCTAAGTAAGCGAGGTCTGAATGTGGGAGAAAAGTCAGTAGACTGGAGAAGTCACAGACACCCCCACTGAGCAGGGCTGTCATTCACCAATGTGAAGAAGGAGCCCTGTGGCTTTGCTCTGTGCATGAGGCTGCTCGGTGTGCTGATCGCCCCAGACCGGGTCAGGCTTTGAGCAAAGTTCCGGGGAACAGGAAGAGAGTCACCAGAAATTCTGGTTGTTGATGGGACAGGCCATGCTAGCTAGGTCTGCAGCTGGCATTTAATCATGGCAACAACTCTACAAGGTAGGGATTTACATAACCCTGTTTTTCATTTAGATGAAAAGAATAAAGCCGAGAAGAGTTGCATAATCTTCCTAGGGTGGCTGGCTCTGGAATTCTCTCTCCTCCCACTTTACTATGCTATCTCTGTAGTCACAGCCTAGATCAACAGCCCCTGGCCCACATACAAGGGTTCAGGGAGGACACTTGAACTGATCTAAGCCCATCAAACAATGAGAAACCACCACAGAGCCAATAACACACTGAAGCCGAGTCTTTGGTTGGCACTAGGCCTCAGCAGTTACAGCCAATGTCAGGACCGTGACCCTGGATGAAGGTTGGAAATGTATGCCGGCCTGTGCTTTCTGGACACTGAATGATCTGCTCCCAACTGGTTTCCCTCTGGTCCACCGTATACAGCATGTGACCTAGTGGGATTTAGCTTCAGCTCTGCTTGGATACCCTGCCTTTGCCCTCACACTCAGCCTCCACACAGGTTCCTCAACCTCTCAGAGTTCGCTCATCTTAAACGCAACCAGTGTCTGTCCAGCAGGACTTCTGCAGGGCTCAGAGGAGACCGCAAATGCAAACTGCAAACACCTGGGGTGTAGAAGGTGCTCCAGTCTACCTGGAGTGCCTCCTCTTACCCTTGGATGGGCCCCAGAGAAAGCAGTCTTACCTCTGTGTAGCACTGAGTCTTCTAAAAGATGTCACAGACAAACTGGTGTTGACGGGATGGCACATGCCAAAGAAACGGTTAGTTTCCAGCCTCCTGTTAGTTACCAGCCTCCTGGGAAAAGAATTAGGGTCTCATCAACTCTTCAGTGGTAGGAAGCAGGGGTCATAGGGTAGTAGAAGGACCATTCATTCCCCCCAATTTCCATGTCTCATGCCTGCTGTATGGTAACCTCTCAGTAGACAAAGGAAAATACAGGCCTGTCCCCAAGCTAACTCACAGAAGCCTAGGAAGGAAACTAGGAAGGTACTAGCCCCCGAGTAGAGCCTTCCAGAATCCTAGTCATGCTCACTCCTTCCAGAGGACAGTGTCTTTCCCAGAAAGGCTTCAAACCACTCATAGTAGGAGACCTTCTATGGTTAGTGAGCATGATCTGCTGAGCTTCTATGGTTAGTGAGCATGATCTGCTGAGCTTCTATGGTTAGTGAGCATGATCTGCTGAGCTTCTATGGTTAGTGAGCATGATCTGAGGAGCTTGGGGACAAGAGCCAGGTCAACCAGAAGCACAGGCTCTGCCTCCCAGGAAATGATCACAGACATGAACCATGCTGTGAAAAAAACTCATGGAATTTCCATGGGACAAAAAGAAAGAGTGCAGGGAAATGGGGCAGGTGCCTTTGGTGTGGCTATGAAGGGTTATTTGAACAGTTTACCATAAAAGCCAGCAGGTCCTTCCCCAGCTCTTCCTCACTTTTTCTAAGTGAGCGTAGGTAAGTGCCTTTCACCTACGCTCACCCCCGGCATTAGTCACCATATTCCCACATGCTGTTGCGTTAGTTCTGAAGTCGCTGGTTTTAGACACTATTAAATGACACCTCCCATTATGGCGGGTAAGAACTGTGTCCTCTTACATCCCCCACTGTGCCTCCCTTCGTTCTCCGATAAGCAACTAACTATATTGGAGGGGTGGTGATTGCAGGTACATATGTTCCACAGCGTCTATGTGGAGGTCAGCGGACAATCTTAAGAAACTAATCCTTGCTTTCTTCCGCCTTGTTTGAGGCAGGGTCTCTCTTGTTTCTGCCACCGTACGACAGTCTAGCTGACCTGAGAGCTTCCAGATGACTGTCCTGTGTCCACCTCCCATCGCCCCATGGGAGTAATGGGATTACACGTAATCCCCATGGGATTACAGATGCACGCTTTTTACATGACTTCAGGGGATCCAAGCGTGTGTCAGGAGGCTGACTGGTACATACTTTCACCAACCAAGCCGTCTCTCCAGCCCCCCAACTTCTTTTAATTCAATAATCAAAAGGAAACTCTAAATGTGCTTATATAAATATTGGCTTACAATGGCACATATTTTACTATATTTAAGTGTCCTTTCCTGCTCAATTATTTTTCCTGCAGTTAAAAAACGTTCTTGTTCGGTCCCGCTAAGAGACATTTTACGTTTAAAAGTTCAACTCCTCACTTCCTGCCACGCTTCTTCCAACTATGTGACAATTGTTTATTACCTACTTTTGCATGTTACTCCGCTGTTGGTAATCCAAGTGTTTTTCTTTGACTTCCTTGTTGTTCCAGAACTGTTCCGTTCCTTTTTACCACCTTTGCTTGAGGATTTTTTGGGTTTTGGCAATGGTTTGCCGGAAGGCTTTGGATGCATCAAGAAATTCAAGATCCTCTTCACTAGTTTGCTGTTCACACCTGATCTCTCTAAATCGAGAACCTCACAGATGCTCTTTAGCATCGCATTCCTAAACTTTTTCAGCATTTCTTCCTTCTTTTTATACTGGGTACTGCCCTTTTCAAATGGAAAGCCACTGAACTGACCCACATTCTTCTTTAATGAGGATACTGTGCCTGGTCTGTTGTAAAGCAGTTTGTGTAGATTTCTAAGTTCATCTGTTTTTTTCTTACTCAGAAAGAAATGTATCCTTTCAATTTCACATAGTTTCTGACCCTTCCCTTGTTCAATTGTAAATGGCTCTCTTTGTAAGGAAGACACTTGCATTGTCAATCTCTCTACTTTCTTCTTTTCTCTCTTGCCTTCCACAATGAGGCTCTTTTCTTTCTCTTCCTCCTCGTCCTCGTCGTCGTCCTCTTCCTCCTCCTCGTCCTCCTCACTCTCGTCCCTGGCGCCCGGCATTTCGGGCTCCTTCTCGGACGCGGGCTGCGCCGGGGCGTCCTCTCCCTCTGCAGCGGGGGCCACCGCCGACATGCTGGGGGCCGCGGGTGCGCACGACGAGGCCGCCGCCGAGGAGTAGGAAGGCGCGCGGGCCGAGGTTCTCGCGCCCCCAAGTGTTTTTCTAAAAAACTGAAGAGATGGATGTAAAACTAACCAAACTATAGGACACACCTCAAGCCACCACCCCAGCCCCCAGCCTGGCCCTGAGCTCTCTGCAATGTGTAGAATTAACTAAAGCCACACCCCCAGTCTTGCCCCCACGCTCTCTACAGGGTACGGAATTAATAGTGTCCACAGGGAATGGTCAGAGGCTAGAACCACAGGAAGGTTCTCTGGAGGGCACCGGGCCTGAACTTGGCTTTGAAGTCTGTTCCAAATGTACGGCCAGAGATGAAGATAGAATGTTCCAAGGGAGAACATAGCAGAACGTAGTCGATGATAAAGGGGAACACTGGCTGTAGGAAGAGTCAACAAGGATGGGATGGGTGTCTAGGGGAGACAATGTGGATGAGAAGAGAGTTAACCAAAGTGAAGGATGGAAAATTAATTATGGTCTATAATTTTATTCTTTCCTTATTAATGTGTCAGCTCTTTTTCATTTGAGTGAAACAGGAAAAGGGGAAGGCAAATTGTAAAATTACCTTCAAGAATTCTATCCCACCGAGAGTGGCAGCACTTGACTATAATCCCAGCACAGGTCTGTGCTACCACATCCTGTTTTAATAAGTTTTTTAAGATCAAAATAAAAACATGTATGTATGAGTATTAACTTTTAAAAACTCGCATTCATAAAAATAAATTTATTAGCCGGGCGGTGGTGGCGCACGCCTTTAATCCCAGCACTCGGGAGGCAGAGGCAGGCGGATCTCTGTGAGTTCGAGGCCAGCCTGGGCTACCAAGTGAGTTCCGGGAAAGTCGCGAAGCTACACAGAGAAACCCTGTCTCAAAAAACCAAAAATAAATAAATAAATAAATAAATAAATAAATAAATAAATAAATAAATAAATTTATTAAAGAAAAATCCGTTCATATCAAATTCAAATGTAGTGCCTTCTACAAATGGAGACTATTGGCCGCATGGAGTGATTGGAGGGATGGAATAAAATGGCCTGTGTGAAGAGCTTAACATGGTAGCTGCCCAAGGTCAGTTGGTGCTTCGGAGTTACTATTTTTAAATAGCCACCTATTTTAGCTAGTGGTGGAGGTTGATGGGAGAGTGTTTATCCAGCACTGAAGGAAGCTAAGGGAAGGGAAAAACCAGCTCTTTGAATAAGCCTCACCTCCCTGCTTCTCCTTGGCCAGCCTCTGGCTCTCAGGACACACTGTACTGGCCATGGCCCCTTCCCGGCTGGTGGCTGACCTTCCTGGCCTCCCTACAGGTGGCGGCCGAGTACTTCAAGAACACCACACTGCTGCTGCTGGGTGTCATCTGCGTGGCGGCGGCTGTGGAGAAGTGGAATTTGCACAAGCGCATCGCCCTGCGCATGGTCTTGATGGCCGGAGCCAAGCCGGGCATGTGAGTCACACGTGGGGTATGGGGGCGGGGCGGGGCCTGAGTCACAGCACGGTGTGTACTTGAGTGCCTCTGCTAAGGGGGAGATGACATCAGAACGATGGACTCTTGCTTCCCGCATCCGTGGAAGAGATCTGATAACCGTGGAATCCCGATTTGATCAGTAGCCCTGATGCTGCTCTCACCTGACTCTAAGGCATTCTCTTCACAACCTGGACTGTAGGGACAGCAGGTGTGCACCAGAACCAGTTTCCCAATGTTTGCCCCGTAGGCTAGGGTGCACACTGGACAAAGGCTTGGGTGGCTTTTCCATTGTCATTTAAGAAGATGTGGGCCTCTCTTTCCATGCACCCGAGTTGCTGGTGGGTGCCTCAGACCGCAGATCCATCAGATGTGCAGTGTCTGATGGTGTCCTCACATGCCCTCTCTTTCTCCTTCCACTCTGGCATCAAGAGGCCAGCAAAGAGGAGATTCTCACTCTCACAGAGTGCGTGGGGGCATCGAGGCGGACAGCGCGGTGTGAGCTTCGCTCCCACGCACGGGCTCGCCCGTGTTCGCCTTCCCCGCCCCGCTCCTCCCTAGTTCATAACTTCTCACTACGTCTTAGGTAAGCGGTCTCACCAGTCGGAGGGGCAAACTGCAAATAAGGTAGCATTAATTAGTCTCTAGACTAATCCATTGAAACTCTAAAGCATGTTCCTGTCTCCCAGGTTGCTAAGGGGCGTTGTTAACTACCGCTTAACCCACACAAGCCCAGCAACCTTCTGCCCACTCAGCTTCCTAGGCACACAGGGGCATTTCTTCCATCATCTTGGGACCTTTGTGGCTCCTTTGATATAGTTTTGTTTTTTGTTTTTTGTTTTCTTTTTGTGGTTCTGGGTGAGGGGTTGGGAGGAGAGAGTGAAGCAAGCCCAGGTCCTCGCCCGAGGCAAGCACTCTAGCCCTGAGCCACATCTCCAGCCCCTGCATAGCTCTTGGAAACTGTACTGTCTACAAGAGTTTTCCCCCATCTGTGTTTCCCTCCTTCCCTGTTTACCACACTCCCCAGCAAATTTGCACCCGCGTGGCATGCTACCAGTGGGTGTGCAAACACATTTGAACTATGTGGCTGTCGGCTCAAACAAAACACGGGTAGGACTCTGCCCTACTTGGGCACAATCCACGTGTGTGCTGCCCCCAGATTGTGCCAAGTCATCTAAAACATAAACGAAGTCATCTTTGTGTCGGCTTATCTAATGGCAACTAGCCCCAGGTCTGTGCAGGGCACAGCTTGCACCATGCTTCCAAGTCAAGGGGAAATGATTTGAAGGTTGTTTTTGCGCTACCTCCCTCCAAGCTTGCCTCTTTCAGAGACCAGCTGGAGACGCGCGCACAAGCCGTGACAGGGGACACTTCTGGGGCTCTGGGGCCGTCCTGGCAGCTAGCTGACTCTCAGATAAGTAGTGGGGAGACCTGAGGGCCAGACATTCATCTCTGTTTGCTCCCAAATAACTATGCTGACTTGCACAGAGCAAGGGGTGCAGCTGTGCCCTCGACTCGCTGGCCACAGAGAGAGGAAAAAGAACCCCCTTTGTCCATAAGAGACCCATCACAGAGCTCTACCTAATGCCCACAGAGCAAGAAGAGCGGCCTGTGAGTCCATACCCCGGGACCTTTCTACCAAAGCTATCCTTCCCTTCTGTAAAGACTTTTTTCCTGGCCAAGGGCACTAGCCGTGAAATGCGAATCGCTCACCGGACCGGTGCTGAAATAAGGCTGCTCTGCACCAAGCATTGGGAGTTGGAAGCTGAATGCGCCCGTGGGTCCTAAGGGCTCAGTTCAGCAGGTTCACGCTGGACCCCACTGTCCCTGCCCCCCAGGCTGCTGTTGTGCTTCATGTGCTGCACCACCATGCTGTCCATGTGGCTCTCCAACACCTCCACCACCGCCATGGTGATGCCCATCGTGGAGGCAGTGCTCCAGGAGCTGATCAACGCTGAGGAGGAGCAGCTGGGGGCAGGCAACTCCAGCACCGAGGAGGCTGAGCTCATGGGTACAGTTCCCCGGAGCTCATCTCCCCCTTTGCCCCCCCCCATTCCCTGCCAGTCTCCACTGGGACCCTGCCCAACCTGGTGCCCATCCCCTCATCTTCATCCCCCTCCCTTTACCCATGCCAGCTGTCATAACCCAAGTACCCTTTACCCAGGCACACACCTCCTTCCGACTTTGATTACAGGTCCCTCCCCGCTCTTCTCCTTGTCCCAGGTGCTCAAGCTTTATTGCAAAACTCAGGGGCCTGTCTGTATCTACAGCCCCACTGTACCGACAGACCAGAGAGAAGGGGAGGAGGTCACCTATCACACCTCTGCCCCTGCCCCGAACCCCAGGGTCCACCCCAGCCTCAGTTCTCACGTCCTGTGTTTCTTTACCACTACAGGTCTTGACGTAAACAACAGACAAACTTCTGTGGAACTCATCTTCGTCAATGAAGAGTGAGTATGAGTGCCCTCTCCCCAGACAGAGCCTCTTGGGCCCCCTGAAGAGGCCAGGAAAGACAGGACCAAAGGCATCTCCTTTAGCTATGGTGCACCAAGCTCACCAGCTTGTCTTCATCTGTAGGATCTACTTCTCCAGATCTTGAGGGGGTCTCCCTTAATCCCAGAACACTTGGGGGTGAGGGAGTGTAAAAAGACCAGTGTTAAAAACCTGAGTAAATGTGGGGGCTGCCCTATGGCTGCCAAGGTCAGTTTCATCTGCACTGGTGTACTCAGCACACTAGGGGATGGTTGGCGGCAGGCTGCATGACGCTCTGGAAAGGCAAACCGAGGAAAGGAGAAGCATGTTCTTGAGCATTCCTCTGTTGTGGGGCCTATCAACAGCTGACTTCCTTCCAGAGTCTATACACAAAAGTTGTCTTTCAAGGGTATTCCACCGTGAGCACTGCACATTTAAAAGTTGTATTTTGCAATGGGTCTTTATAATTTGCCCTTTTAAATTAAAAAAAAAAAAAAAAGGAGGCTGGGCGATGGTGGTGCATGCCTTTAATGCCAGCCCTCGGGAGGCAGAGGCAGGTGATCTCTGTGAGTTCAAGGCCAGCCTGGTCTATAGAGTGAGTTCCAGGACAGCCAGGACTACACACAGAGAAACTCTATCTCAAAAAACCAAAAAATAAAAAAATAAAAAATGGAGAGCTCACACTGAGTGAAGTCAACCTACATAGCTGGACAGACACAGAGGGGACCTGGCAGAAACGTCATCTTCCATCGTGACCTATAGCCTTGCTGCCCTCCACTTTGTTGGTATCCCAAGCAGATGTCACAGCGTTCCTGGTCCTTTCACAGAGGCAGCATGATCTCATTTTCAGATCCTCAGCAGTCTAAGTTCACGGCAACACTCTGATCTGTTTCCAAAGCTCCTCTGCTCTCCTGAGCGCACACCTGTTTCCTCTGGGCCTAAGCCTGCAGAAGAAAGAGAGGAAAGAAACTGACCTTCCACTGTCCCCTGTCCACCCCCTGCTGTCAGTCCCCTCACTCTGCTGCTCTGCAGTCTCCAGGGTTGGGGCAAACTTAGGATACCGGAAAGCTCAAAGGGTACAAAGGCTCCAGGCTAGAGTCCT